CCTCCGGTGCCCTGTGCCCCTATGCCCAGAGAGGGGCCCAAGACACTGCAGAACCACCCTGGGGAACATGTGAAAATATGAACAAAAATAGAGGTTTCATATCCCTCCACTTATGCTAAAAAGAGTTCAGAGGGAAAACTTAAACCTACAGAATAACCCAAGTGGTAGATGCACTAACGGAGAAAACCCCAAGGCAACACAGCTTGGCACGGGGCGGCATTACCCAGCAGCACTAAAATGGATGCAGTTTTAGCAGAGGGCCAAGTTTCCCAATCATAGTACCATTTAAGGAGGGAATTAGTTAATTTTGAAAGTGTAAAAAGGGTATAGTCATGGAAAATGCTTTTTGCTTCACAAAGTTAAATATCACCCAAAATGTACTTCTCGAACTCCTTCCAGAAAGAGGAGCTAGGCAAAATAAACTCCAAGGTATAGCAGGGAGATTCACTGAAAGGAAACAAATGTTTTCCAAACTGCAGCTTTAGTAGTTAATTGAAATGTTTACTTAAATATAACATGGTATTTATCATCATCTTTTCATATTTGCCAAGGATGTCCTATTAACGTTAGATCAGTAGGGAATTTCAGGAAAAAATTAACAATGGGGGTGACGGAGCCCTGGGAACAGGCTGCCCAGAGAGGTTGTGGAATCTCCCTCTCTGGAGATCTTCAAAACCCGCTTGGACGCAGTCCTGTGCCATGTGCTCTAGGTGACCCTGCCTGTGCACAGGGTTTGGACTCGATCTCTAGAGGTTCCTTCCAACCTTAATGATCCTATGATTCTGTGAATGAACACACATTAGACTTTCCACATAGCTGCAGATTAAACATTAAAAAAAGGGAGCACATTTCCACTTACACTGGAGGAGTGAGTGCTGGTGCAAATAATGAAAATAAAACTAGAAAGAAAAAAAAATATTCAGGCTGTATTCCATAAAAAGCTTCCTTAGCATAAGGTCCTACTCAGTTTCTGAAGGGAAGCTGTGGAAGCGTTACTGCCCAATGCATTTAAAATTGGTCAGAACAAAAAGATGAATCAAAATCTGCTGCAGAGGTAAATGAAGCATCATCACAAAATGGACATGATAAGCCAATAAAGAAGGTCCAACAACAACTTTTATCAAGCTCTTTTTGAGCCAAAGAATACAATGTGTGTTTCAACATCATTCAAATACATAAGCAAACAGTGTAAGAGATATGAGAAACAACAGGAGAGTAGTTATTTCACGATTGAGACATGAAAAGTCTTTCAGATGGAAATCTTGTCATTTAGTTGAAATCTTGCTATTTCAGAATTATTAATGTTGATATCGGGACAGTACTGTATTATCCAAAATGTAAACAAAACAATAAAAAAATACTCCTCTAGCCCTTCATCTTCTTTCATTGACTTTAATGAAACTAGACGAGGATCCTAATCAAGGCACTGGACTTTCTACCTATTTCCCCTGGTAGTTGCAAAGACGTCTACCAATGTGAGCTGCAGTTGAAGTTGCAGAATGGACCAATCTTCTAGTGCTACCACAATTTTTAGCACTCTATCAGTTACAAGGATTCATGGAATTAAGCCACTCAACCCTCCCTGAAGATGCTTACATAATTCAGAACAATTCATATTTGAAAAGTATAACAAATTCCCTGTTTTTAATGAGTTTTCACTAATGAAATCTGGGAACTTTTTTTGTTTTTGAGAGAGAAAATGTTTTCTTCATCAACATTGGTTTCACAAGTCTATTACACATGCAAAAAAATTAACAGGGCTGAACCAAAAGGCTTCTTAGGATTTAAGCAAAGACAATTAAAGTGTGTCATAAAAGCACACCCTAAATTAAGGCAATCTAGGGAGCACAATTAACATTTACAGAAAAAATAATCTTGCATTTTACTCCTCAGAGTTTCTAAATGGAAATGAATTATTCGCAACAAGGTTTCCAATGTTGTTGCTTTCAAATATTACTGTATTTGTTAAAAAGTCACATCAACGAGAAGTAGCAGCTTATTTTTGCATGCTTATGTGCATTTTAATGGAAACATGTTGTACAAGCCCATAGATCCAAAAATCACAGACAGTGGAGAAAGCCCTGGATTCCTGGGAGACAGTCTAGCAAGGCGCTGGCTCCAACACCAGAGCCAGAACCAGCTACTGCCAATCCTGTTTGTTTGCAGTGGCCTTTTGGAGGCTTTCACAGCCTAATGGTGCTGATGGTATCCCTTAAATTATTTTAACACCCCAGGCGGAGAGAGATGCTTTTCAAAACTCTGCATGAGGGTTTACAGTTTAGCTGCCAAGAACTATTTACACTGAATTGTAACAAATTCTGGACATCTGAAATTTAGAAAATGTAGGAATTCTTTTTTATTTTCTCTTCCTCAGATATAGTCTGCTTCAATCACTTTTAGCTCAAAGTACACAGGACAATTTCCATTCAAGTTCAATGTCTTGCACAGTGTATATTAAGAACTACACTTTCCTTTACAGTATTTGGATAGAAAATACATCGCCAGTTGCCTTACTGGAGTTAAGATTTCACTGTCATTGTAATGCCACCTACACAGAAAACGACATCTCTGTCCCACTTCTGACAATACGAAATTACATTATGCTACAGAACACACACAAAAAAAGCTTCTAAAGATAATTTATGTCATTGCTCCTTTCACTTAGAGAATGATTCATACATAGATACATTAACATTTCTGCAAATATTTGTGTCAGTTAATACTATTTCAAAAAAAAAAAAAAAGAGCAATTGACCAATTAGGTTGGAGGTGTTTTATTACTTCTTTGAATTCATTAGGCATGATAAAATGTCAAAAGCACCAGTCAAGACAGAAATAAATAACACAATCTCATGTTAGAAAGTTGCAAATACAGTATATTAAATTATAGCAATTTGCTGCTTCACACCAGAAGATGTAGACAGCACACCAGGGAGACAGTAGTTTTACTCATGATCATTGAAGAGATCTATACCAAAACAGGGAAGCTGCACACCCAACTAAAAGCATCATTCCTTCTTTAACCAATTTACTCTGGGAATTCAATCAAGGGTTTGAACTGGCATTGGAAGTTCAAAATCCCCTTTGTCCGGAGGTAACAGGGGGGTACAAAGCTTTTCACAATAAGCCACGCAAAGAGCTGAGGCTTTAGGTCTCTGTAGTCGTCTTTGTCAGGTCTGCTCCTGCGCTAAGCTTAGAGCTGTGCCTTGGGTCCTCCTCACTATATACCCACAATAAAGACACAAGCTCAGGGCAGGCAGAGGACTCCTGTTTCCCATACGCAACATTAGAATCATTAATATCATGAAACTGTACATCAGAGGCCTTTTGCAGATTAACCCTGCAGGTTTATGGGGATCACTGTATCCGTTAGAAAGGGAGATAAAAGTTACAGCCCCTTAAGCAAAAACAATCCACAAAAAAAGCCATATTAAAAATATTAAGACAAGGCCTCTAAAATTGCACATCACTTCAGGCCTGAATTAAATCATGAATAATCTATTACTAAAACGCTTCCCTATTTTCTTTCACAGCCCACAGCAAAATTTTTCAGCTGCAAAAAAATAGAAAAACAAATTCTGTACTACAGCCTAATACCCGTCAGTTGCATCACATCTGTCTTGGGCAGTACAAGACTTAACATGCTCTCCTCCAGGTAGGGGTTCGAAAAAGTAATATTCTGTCAGGGAGAATTAATGCAATATATACTGTAGTGAAGTCACATTTTTCTTAACGCAGGTTTACCAACCTGTATGGGCAGAGGTACTGTAAAATAAACAGCTTATGCAACAACAGTAGAATGAAATAACCCAGATCTGCCATAGCAGGCCAGATGATGTAGCAGGCTAAAAGGTAATTTCTGTATTTTTTGGCTTCAACTTTATCACTGTTTCAATGTAATGCTTGTACTTTTAAACTATATAAAAAAACTGTACATGAAAATCTGCACGCAATCTTTCTGAAGAGGAAAAACAATCCCATGATTACTCAAGCTTAGAAAATTTTGTAATTAACTAAGTATGCTAGATTATGTCAATGATTTATGTCAATGCTATTTACAAGATTAAGTACTATTCTGATTCTTAGTAATGGTGCAATATCTAAATTAAGATCACAGGGTTGGATTAGGGTCTGGTTGTTAAAAGCTTTCCTTTTTAGCAGTCTATCCAGTTTTCGGTGGGCTTGAGTCTGAACCAAGAGTCAAACATTTCTGTGCTTCTTTTAATACATCGTATATCCAGATCCATTTTTGTTATCGAACCCCATGACTCAGTAACATGATTTAAATTTGAAGCTCAGGATAACAGTGACATAAGATGACTGAAAACACAGCTTTGGTCACAGTAACACACTACTTCCTGTACACATTAATAAAAAGAAATATGAAATCGAAGTTCATGTTCTATGTTTCCAAATACCTCTGGATAAAGAGACAGATAATCCATTTCAGAGGATCACTGAATTCCTGGTATTTTCCTTATGTCCTTTACAAACACCTCACAGATGACCAGACTTGTACTTCCAAAGTTCTTCTGAAGCATTGCACAAGCTTTGTACCACGAGGGCTTATACATTCAAAGGCAGCTTTCTGGAGTGCAGGTCCATCCATTCACATTGGGAAAAAAGTTCACAAAATCCAAAAAATTAAGAAAAGTGAAACCTAGTGTGACTTTACGCCAATGAGAACAACAATAAGGACAATTACTACAACAAACAAAATTAAAATAACAAGCATCTTCCGATTCTTCTTTTGATATTGCTCTGCCTATAAACAAACAGAAGAGAGACAATTTATACCCAGATTCCTGCAGAACTCTGAAGAGACTTGTGTAGTATAATCGAGTGCATGTATTCTAGTATTTTTTTTGGTAACTCGACATTTCATACAATGTATATTGCAAGCAACTCCCACAAAATACCTCCAGTCTCACTACCAACTTCACACTGAAGTTGCATTTAGCCATACGAGGAGAGGTTCTTTAGATGTTCTTTAGTGTGTTTGTTAAACAACCTTGCTGTGACTTTCCTTCAGCAGTCCTTGAGAAGATCCTATGCCCCCATAAGACACTGCACATAATACTGTTATACAGAAGTGATACTTTATTTGTAAGAACACTCAGCTACGAAGACTGTGGAAACAAAAAACTAGCAGCTGGGTATGTCAAGGTCTGAACAATAAGATCTGGTAAAATACTGTAGCTCATTCTGCTGGTACAAGATTGCTCTATTATACTCAAAGGACATTAAAATTCATAATAAAACTTCATGTTTTAATAGGGGTTTTTGTTGTACCTGATTCAGCTGTGCATTTTCATTTAAATTCAATTAGAACTGAAAGTTTTCATTTTGATTTGGTTCTCAGTTTTCTGCTTCATTCCTTCTTTCTTCTAACCACATTTTCTCATCCCTTTCCTCTTTTTCCCAGGGGAATTAAAAGGAGGCAACGTGGAGAAAACTCTCCAAAAGCCAAATGAAACTCTGCTAATAGAAGCTAAACAAAACTTGCATTTAATTTGTTTCAAGTTAATAAATCTTGAAAATTTAAAGGGGAAAGGAAATTAATTCTGCTTCTTTACAGTCCCCAGAAAATAATTATTTGTTATCAAATCTACTAATGAGGATTTTTGACCTGCACCTATGTCATGTGCAACCATTGTGACTAGTTAATCAAGCTTGAAAGTATCACAAAGCAGTAACTTTCATTCCAATTTTCATGTGCAGGATGACCTGGTAACTAGCAATTCATATCACAAGATTCCTGGAGCGAATGCATGCAATTTCTGTGAAACTGCCTTATAGTTAGTTTGTGATAATTACGCCACTTAGAAAAGAAATGGACATTGCACACATTAAGAAAGAATAAAGTTACCAAAACTTTTAAAAACACCACAATATCTGTGTTTTATATTATCATTCAGATGTGTGTGCACATGGAAATTTCTATATTGTACTGAAAACGTCTAATCTAAACTGCATATTGCATCAAAAATCCGTATTCTATTGGCAAGCAGAAAAGGGGGTTACTGATGATTCATTAACTACTACTAAACTAGAAATAGTCTTTTATTACAATTGATTCATTTATTTTCAGTTCAGTTTGTGCAAATTGCTTGCAATTACTTTAAAACTTATTTCCCAGAGGTTAATGCCGTACTTTAATGGACCCAATTTAGCTCTATGCAAAACAAAAATAAACCTATAATGCAATTTACTTTGATCTTCTCAAATGGCACCTTTTTGCTGACAAAATATTGTCTGCCATAACCTGAGGAAGTTGAGTGTGCATTAATAAGATGCCCACATTTCCCAGACAGAATGTTCTACTCATATAGAGGTTTTTGCATACATCTCTAATTCCATTTTATTTCCAGCAGCGAAAGGGACTGAACTGAGCTGACAAGTCAGAACTTTGCTTAAAATCAAAAGAAAACAACAACAACGAAGTCAAGAAAACAAAACAACCGCAAAAATCTGTGTTCTGCTGCCAATTCAAAACTGTCAGATGTTCGCCATAAAAGCTTCACATTAAAAGCATAAGGTTGGACCTAACTTCTAACAAATGTCATACTGCAAGAAAAAACAAACAAACATACAAAGTTATCCTTGCTACTCACTGAGATAACACTTTCAAGCCAGGCTATATTAACTAACTGATTGAAATCTGTAGTGAGGTATGCAATAACCAGTGCTATTTCAGGAGTGCCTGGCTCTCAGAACGAACACCAAAGACAGAAGGAATTGTAGGTAGGTCCCAACATGTCTGCAACAAAGATCAGAGGACACTGCTTGGATGCCCCAAAAAGTGAATCAGGAACTTAATGCTAGGCATCAAGTATGTTGTTAAAACAAGTTATCTGGAAAGATCCTACTAGAGTACAGTTGGACATTTTGTGCTGTACAGTCATCATATCCAACAAGGAAGACATCTAGATGAAAAATGGCTCTTAAGAACTTAATGGTTATTAAATTATAAAAGATTATTAGGTATGCAAAGCATCTTAAGTATTCTGTGAGCTTACCTTATGCAACTGTTTTAGGCCCTCTTCAGTTTTGACACATGACTGCTCAACATTGTAGTCAATTCTATCTAGAACTGTTCCCTAAACAAAATGAGAGAATGAATACCAACTGGAATCTAAACACACTCCATAAAGCAATTATGGCTATAATCAACAGGGTAATAAACAAGGTTTAACAACAAAGAGCTAATGAACTGTGTAAGCTCTGAACTTCTACAGAAGAACTGGCCAGGACTTTTTTTTAGGGGACATCCTCATTCAGTGCTTAACTGGCAACCCTGTCACCATCTCACATCATATCCTTTACTGATTTCTTACTCCCCATTCACGTGCTCTTGGCTGAGAGGTTCAGCCCAAACATAACCTTTGGGAGAAATAACCAAGCTCTAATATTCTACACTAGTCTAACCCTCAGGACTAACTACTCATTTTTCCCTTTTTTTTTTTTTTTTTTTTCTCTCTCCTTAATTCATCTTCCGGCAGATACCGAGCACAGGAAACCTCAGACTGAACAAATGAAGTTTGGAAAAGTGATAAACACATGAAAACAGGACATTAAAACAGGAAGCATCTGGAAGCCTTGATGCTACATGGAATCTCCTATTTCTCACTAACACTGCGGTGCCAGTATACCTGTTCTACTATCATTGCTCCCAGGTCCCTAAATATTTCATTCAGATCAGAGATTGACTGTACAATCTGACGGATTTCTCGTTCCCGTTCTTCAACCATTAACGTATTTTGCTCCACCAGTGCTAGCTGGTCATCTGTAAAACCCTGTTGAAATAAAAGATTTAAATGTTAAATTATCATTAACAGTACGTTATTACTAAACATAATTATTGTAAGATTTCATAACATAACAGTGTTCTTGGAACCTCCATGACAATTATCTAAAAAATCTTGCTGTATTTTAAAAACAGAATTTGAGTTGCTAAGATAATTCAGAAGGCTATTCACAGTTATAATAGAGAAAATATAAATTTTACATGCTGTTTAAACATACAAAGACGTTTTCAGAAGAGGTTTGTCCTAAAATAGTGTTTTTATTGATGTAAAGAACTAATATGTGCAAGGGACTTTTAATTATGGAATATCTATAGTGTTTGATCAGCATTACAGAAAATCTCAATGTCGATGATCATTAAAATGTGTAAAGACAAAACATGATTTTTTAAAAAACTATAGAGATGATGGTACAAAGTCCTCTTAACATCTCAAAACCAATACAATCCTAGTCAGGTAAATATATCATGCAAAGATCCAAAAATGTTTTTTTTCCATGTAATTTGGTGCTTAGTACACATGAGCTTTTCACCCTTTTTTGATATTTTCATATTAAAAGTATACTAAACAAACAAACCAAAACACCCCCTGCATTGATTTAAAGTACTAATACCCTTACCTACCCTATCATAAAGTGTATTGTCTTCACCATCATCCATAAGTGGAACGGAGGTGTCAAAAAAGTGTTTGGATCTTTCTTCTCTGTTCTTCATGCCTGTAAAAGACAAATTGCATTTCAGAACATTGTTTAGGCACACTAAAGAAGTCACTCAGACTTCCTATCAACTTTCAAAAACGCGTGTAGGTAGAAGAGTATCTTCCAATAGCTTTTAGAGGAACAAGATGCACAATGGAGAGTAAGATCTGAAGCACAAGATAGAAAGAAATAAGAAAAAATCTGGCTAATAAATGAAATAACTAGCAGATTCTGATTGTAAACTGTCATACAGGTTTGTTTTCTAACAAACATCTTGGCAGATGACAATTTGAGGAGCAATGAGCAAATTTGTAAAGAAGAAATATATGTCCAATTTCACCATGTATTTAACCATGTATTAATATGAAGGAGACATACACATACAGTTAAGCAGATTGAGCACAGGCTATTAAACCAGAAACCCCTAAATTCTCATCTCCATTCTGGTGCTAGGAGTATCACTTAACTGTTCTGTGCTTCAGTTTTCTCAACGAAGGAAATAGGCACTGCTTAGTTACTGTTCTTCACAGAAAGTGCCCGTGCATTCCTGTATTTCTTATGCTTACGTTTTAGATAGTCAGACTGTGCATGCCTAAAGTTGGTGGATAGATCCTGAAGGGACTGTGCTAGGGAAGACACTACATTCCTGAGAACACGTTGTTCTTGTTCTGTACAACTGCGTGACCTGCTCTGCAACACTTGGACTGCTCTCTGACACCTGTGAAACAACTGAGAAAACACTTCTGTTAGTTCAGCAACACACATTGTAAATATGACATCGCTAAAGTCCAAAATGTAAGACTAAGATTTTGACTTATAGATTTTTAAAGCAAAGTCCCTGTTGAGCAACCCAGTGTTTAGAAGAGTCCACAAGAGTGTTCACAGAATGAAAACACTGAATATGGACAAACAATCTATTAAAAGCTAACAGGGTAGCAAATACATTTTCTTCAAGCTGTTCAGACTAGAAGATGCTGAATAAAATTCTGTATTCATGCCAAGATACCTGCAAGTGTGATTTATTAAGCATCCAATCTTATTCCAAGGGAGAAAAGCAAGCAGGTAAATAAAGGAACAGAGAGTTTAAGTGACTTATTGAGGAGTTCACTGAGCACTAGTAGTGAACATAGAATCCAGGAGACTGGTTCACAGAAAATACTGATTATAGAAGATCTAACTTATTCTAAGGAAAACACTGCTTCCCATGAGGATATGCATCATAGATACGCTATACTGTAGTTTTAAAACTGAAAGCAATCTGTACCTGTGTGATCTCTTGAGTGGTTATTTCTATTGCATGTTCTTCTTCACTGCTGTCATCCAATGTTGGTCTGTTTAGATGTTTATCATGAAGACTGGCTAATTCTTTCATCTTCTGTTTAACCCTGGTGATATCATACTGAATCTAAAACACAAAAACCAACAATGGAGAAAGGGAAGTGACTAATGTTTCAGAGGAAAAGGTTCCCACAAATGATAGACAAATACTGCAAAAACATTAAAAGAAACATCTGTAACATAAAAGAGTAGACTAAAGATCATTAAAAAACAAACATAAAAAGCCAAGCTCTTAGAGAAATTTTTCATGGGCTTTGTGTGTTTGCTTTTTCGGCAAAACTGTGCTGTTTTCAATTATGCATCATTAAGTTGCAATAATATTTTTATTATTATACAATTAATGTCATAGTAAGAAAGGTTTAGCCAACTTCCAAAAATAAAAATGAAAATTCAGGTCACACCATCTCTGTTAAACATCCTATAGATTGGGTTCAACGGTGTTAAAGGACAAGCTTTCATACTGGTCACTAGAAATAAATCTGTGAGGATTTGGGGTCTGTTCAGTTGGATCTTTCAAAAGGCTCAAATAAACAATGAAGTAGAAGAGAGGAAGCTTTTAAGCTTTTTTTTTTTTTTTTTAATCTCCTCCCTTCCAAACTTTGAACTTTTGGATTTTGTATCCACCTTTATAAGCCAAGAACTTTGTTTTCTTAGAACTCTAGGATCTTGTGCAGTCTCAAGTCATTCAGTGCTCAGCTATGATGTGCCCTGTTCTAACAGTCCAAATGAAATGCTAACGCTGGACTCCCACTGATCATGGAAATCCAGCCAGTGATCCTGGAAATTCAACCTTTTAGAATTTCTGGCCCTAAATAATTTTCCTTCATTTCATTTGCAAGATAGCTTTTAAGATAATAAAATACAGCGTGGCTCAAATCTACCCTTAACAGGTGATCCAGCAGTATCAGAATGTGGGAGGGGGAGGAGAAACTTGCTTTAATCTTTTTTCTAACACTACTTCTATTATAAAACCTCAGAAACAATATTGTCACAGTTGCAATCCAATAAATTCTGCTGTGAAATCACACCCAGCGTTGCATTTAACACACAACTTACTTCTTCTGCTCCATCAACCCATTTTGGAGGTAAGCGTTTTGTTACACCAATTGCTGCTTCAGGATCTAAACTTATTCCTGACACCAGTGCCATACGATCGTCAGCAAGCTGCAGAAGATGAGAAAAATACCCTTAAAACCAAAAAAATAACTCTACTCAAATTAGATGCATATCCTTAAGCATTAGGAAACAGTGCACCTATGCCTGCCTTTTCCATAAAAATAGCCTCAAAATGCATTTGCACATGAAGCAATTAAAACCATGCTCCACATTTTGCAGTTGTTCCCTCGTATACTAATGACCTACATTCCCTACTTCCTACAGGATCTGAAAGATGGGACCTAACCTTAAAGTAGGCTCTTAACATTTTTTCAAGGGATACATGTGGCATTGCTGTGAGAATTCAAGTAATTCTTGCACAAGAGTAAAAGGTGCATTTTGTTTTAGGGTTTGTTTAGGATTCATGACCAGTGGATCCTTAATCTACAGTGTAACATGGCTTATGCTATTTTCACAAGCAAGTTTAACAAACTAATTTGGAGAAAATTCCCAATAATCATGTTTGCTATTTCCTCACAAAATTAAAATGATATATAC